TCCATTTACAGTGTCCTCGTCAGCGCAATGAGATTGATTGCGGATATTTTGTATTGCGCTTTATGAAGAAAATTATTCATTCTGGTCAAATAGAGATTCCAATCATGGCATGGATCAATTCACAAATTATATGATTCATTTTGATAATTAACCGATGTTTCATCTGAATAATTATTTTTAAAACTAAATCGTGCGTGTTCTGTTATATTATGTAGTACTTTGATGAATTCAAATGCGGTACTTACTCGAAAGCAGGATTGGAAGAAATAAAGGAGGAATGGTGTCAATTTATTCTTGAGTTGAGAATTGTATAAGGTATATGTATCATCCTATATTAATGCGGGATAATAATATTTCTGGAAGTCGTATCTATTTGTAAAGTTAACGGATTTGTAATTATATGTAAATTGACTGTATTTGTGATGTTGTAATTCTGAGGATCGGATTGTGTTGTAATATATTTAAGCAGATTTATGTGTATTAAAATGATTATGGGCAAAGTGATGAATTACAATGTATACTTAAAGGCCAAAGTGTTGAAATAAAGGTCTGAATTATAAGCAGGGAATGTAATTGTTATAAGCAGGTTTATTGGAAAATATATAAAAAATGTGATTATTTTTAAAAAAAAAAATTTAAATCGCGAAGATTAGACAACGCTTTTACAAAAAAGCACTGCTAAAGGGGACACAGAGAGCGCTAAAAACGTGCTGCTATAGGTGGGGAAAAGGGGGGGGGGTCTAAGAAAGCGCTTTATAAAAGCGCTGCTAAAAGGGGAGGGGGGGGGGGGGGGGGGGGAGGGTCTAAGAAAACGCTTTAAAAAAGTGCTGCTAAAGGGGGGGGGGTGTCTAAGAAAGCGCTTTCTAAAAGCGCTTGCTTAAGGGGGGAGGCGAGAGGGGAATAGGCAACGCTTTTAAAAGCGCTGCTAAATGTGCTGGTAAACGGAGCATATAGCAGCGCTTTTTCCATAAAAAAGCGCTGCCTTTACCTTTAGCAACGCCACTTTAGGCAGCGCTTTTAAGCGCTGCTAAAGGCAAAAAAAAACACTGCTAAAGGTCTTTTTTGGCATTGTGAATGATGTTGAGTTTAAATAAGACATCATTTTTGAACCTACACCATAACCTGAAACCATCCATGAACCTCAAGGTTTGGAAAGATCAAATAGGCAAACTCAAAAACCTATTAATTTATCAGATTTTATATGCAATCTTTCAAAGAATCCATTTGATCATGATTATTCAGATATATTCTATCCTATTGAAAATTTTTGTTCATTAAATTATATTTCTACTACACATCAAAACTTTATTTTGTCCATCATTATTTTAGCTGAGCCTAATAGTTACAAAGAGGCAAGTAAGCACAAGTGTTGTGTCAAATCAATGAATTCTGAACTTGAAGCTTTGAAACACAACAAAACTTGGACCTTTGTTATCCTCCACCAAGTATCAAACCAATTGGAAGGGAATGAGTTTATAAGCTGAAACATAAGGCTGATGGTTCCATAGAAAATATAAAGAAAGACTATTAACTAAATACTATAATCAAGTTTAAGGGCTTGATTTTTTGACACATTCTCACTTGTGTAAAAAATCACTACTGTTAGGACCTTTGTTGCCATTAACATCCATCAATTCATGGCATCTACATCAGTTGGATGTAAACAATGATTTTTTTTTTGTTGCATAGAAACTATTGTATGGATTGAGACAACCTAGTAGAAAGTGGCATGAGAAATTAATAGGTTTTCCCATTGGTCAAGGCTACAAGCAATCCAACTCTGATCACTCTTTATTTACACTTCACACTAATTCACATTTAAATGCTTTATTAGTATATGTAGATGATATCATCCTGATAGGTAATTCTATGGATGAAATCAACAGGGTGAAGGCTACACTTGATACTAAGTTCAAAATCAAAGTTCTTGGGAGGCTGGAATATTTCCTAGGCATAGAGGCTGCACACTCTAAAATTGGCATTAACATATGTCAAAGGAAATACTGCTTATATTTGCTGAAAGACACAAAGTCTTCTTGCTTCCTAGTCATCCAAAACTCCTTTTGATCTATCTACCAAACTGCATCAATATACAAGTGTATCCTTTGAGGACATACTCAACTATAAAAGTTTGGTTGGGAAATTACTCTACCTCACGACCACTTGACCCGACATTGCATTTACGACTCAACAACTGAGGTGATTCCTTGCATCACCAACTATTACACACCATGACACAACTTGTAGAGTTGTGAAAGACTTGAAGGGTTCACTTGAGATATGGTTATTTTTCAGAAGAGATTCAAAATTCCAACTTCTTGGATTCATTGTTGCTGATTGAGCTGAATGTTTGGACACAAGAAGATCTACTTCAAGCTATTGCTTATTTATTGGTTCTTCCTTGGTTTCTTGGAGAGATAAGAAACAAAAAACTGTATCTCAAAGTTCTTTTGAAGCTAAATATCATGCACGATCCTTTGTTAGTTGTGAGCTTAGATGGCTCATTTATTTGTTGCAGGATTTTGGATTTCATTGCAGTAAACCGCCAGTGCTATATTGTGACAACATAAGTGCAATCCATATTATATCTAACCCAGTTTTTCATGAACACATAAAACATTTGGAGATTGATTGCCATTTTGTGAGAGATAAGTTATTGCAAGGAACATTCAAGTTGTTGTCTGTCAAGTCTCAAGCACAACTTGCTAATTTATTTACAAACCATTGCCACCAAAAAACTTCAATTCTTTCATTTCCAAGCTTAACATGTTTAACTTCTACCATGCTAAGCTTGAGGGAGGGTGTTGAAGTATAAATTCAGAGTTAACTTGCATGACAAAGTAACCATTTAACATTGCATGCTTCCTAACAACATTGCATGACTCCTAACAACATTGCATTGTTCCCCTTATAATTGGATATTGGATCACCTTATCTTAGTGAAGTCTCACCATAGAGTATTACAACTATGATTGAGTTAGTTACATTCGGTTAGAGGTTGTTAGAGTTTCAAGTCTCTGTATAAATACATGATGTAACTAACTTCACCATGATGAATGATATAACTTCCATTTTCACTCCATTTCTTTGATTTTCATTCATCTTTATCATGATTCATGCAAACTTCGTAACCCCTAATAAAATATACAATATTTTTTTTGTATAATATTAAATATCAAAATAAAATAAATAAAAATTTAGTTCTGAAAATTTTGAGAATTTTTTTTAATCCTAACTAAATGTATTGAAATTTTAATCATATCAACTATTTAACATATATTTTTTGATTTTCTAACCACCATTATTTTTAGTATATGAATGTATCCACTGTATTACTTCTAAAAATATGATTTCCCCAAATATCAATATCATGAGATATAATTAGATATCCTAGTAAATAAATACTTTTAACATAGCTTAGAATAGTTAAATTCTATTGGTAACAAGAAAATAACCCATAAACTCATGGCAAGATTTACGACATAGTTATTCAATAATATCCCATATATTTTTTGATTCGGTCAATGAATTCTCATATAATACCATTTATTTTGTTCCCACTTATATAATACCACTATCATATCACTTAGTAACTAATATCTACTTCATAATAACGTATTAGATGCTAATAATTCATTTGAATTTTATTTATTTATTTATAAATTTACGATATTTTTAGAAACCAACTTTGCACGTAATTTTAGAGAATAATTTCTTGAATGGAAAGGATTGCAAAACTTAGTAAAATCCTCTTTTAAAAGAATCTCCAATTAAACCGAAAAGAAATCCCTTTAGATATCATTTAAGTGCTCTTGCATTATACAAATTGCAATTTATATCTATAAATTTTAAATTTAATTTATAAAAAACAATTTATTATTTCATTTTTGTGTTTTAAAAGTTTAAGTGATTCATCTAAATAGACTCAAAACTTAAAGAATATTTATATAATACCAACTAAAGAGATTTTTATAACGACAATACAAACTAAGCACATTGTCTGAACTAATTTCTTATCTATTGAACTGAAGTATTTTATTCTTTTTGTTTTAAAATAAATGTTGTTTAAAGTTTTCACACACAAATTAAAAAATATAATAATATTATTATAAAATATTATATTTTTATTAAATTAATTTTATAAATATATTAAAAATAATATAAATAGTAATAATAATTAAAAAATAAGAATATTTCTATATAAAATATATAAAAAAGTAACATATATTTTGAAATAAATTTGATTTATTGAAAGTATAGTTATAATCATATTAAAAGATAGTAAGTTATGAAATATTTAATATTATCATTTATAGAAAAAAAGAAGTTGAATTGTCAACTCGAAAATTAATAAAAAAAAATCCAAGGGCATAGATCTTGTTACCTGAGAATAAAATCTACGGTTGAATTCCCACCTAACATCATTGGCATCTACTTTTCAGGCCAATTAATAATTTCTCTAAACAGTCCAAAACATGTGAAATTAAAAATCAATTAATTATAGCGGTGATTGCACCCCACGCGCCAGTAATTAATACTCTCTCACGTAACATTACTCTTCAACTGCCACGTGGAGGGCAAATTCGTCACTTAACATATCTGTTCGTACACGCGCGTAAGAACCTTATTTTATTTAATATTAATATTTGTTCTTGTTTTTATTATTTACTTGTCGGGTTTCACATTCAAAGATCCAAAATGTTGCAAAGTTTGCAGAACCACCACAACCAGGAAAATCTTTTTTGACGAGAATTTTTTCATCCCTTTGGAATATTATTATAATCTTTTTTCAAGATTTCACATTCGGGAAATTCCTCTTTTTTTAATTTTTTATATATTTTTTTGGGATTTTAATTTTGATTTACCTTTTTAATATCTTGGTGAGTTAATTTCTGAGTGTTGTGCACTGATTTTTTCTCTTAAAGGCTTAAAGGGTCATAAGGGTTTGATTGAACGACCATAAAAATTGTATCTTTGTGTTTCAATTTCAACGCTATCAGATGCCAGAAAATCGGCAGGTTTTCAAGAATGTTGGTGCTAATCCATCTGGTGCTAACATTGAAGGTGATTCAATCATTAGTTTTTTATATGATGTGTTGTTTTGGTTGGAAATGTTTTGTTTTCATTCATGATGATGTTGTTGATGATGATGATGATGATGATTATGATGATGATGATGACGATGATGATGGGTTTCTATTTTTGGTAGAATGAATTTGATTTCAATGTTTTTGTTCTTTTTTGTTTTTTTTTGTTTGGGATTCGTGCAATGTTGTATTGTGAGAGTTTTGATGATTTTTGTGAAACTGAATATGTGAGTTAACTTGCGTGAGTGAGAAAGGTTGATTATGAAAAGGAAATTATTATAGTATTCAAATTCCATGTTTACTTCCCTAGAATCAAGTGTTGTTTTGCTTGATCGCACATGGTTTTTGAAAAGTCTATGTACTTTGCTTCATGATGCAATAAAGGGTTGTGATTTTCATGTTTTGATCTTGAATTCTCTTTCAAACAATAGATTATGTGCTTTGTGAGGTGATAGTTTTGAGTTTCTGATCTTGTTAGTTGCATTGTACTGTGATTTGTATTGCAGAAGCGATTCGGCGATTGAAAATCAATAATAACCGGGACAGGGATGCTGCGGCTCAATCGATGCCTTATCCGGATCGACCTGGTGAACCTGACTGCTTATATTATTTGAGGACTGGAATGTGTGGCTACGGGAGTAACTGTCGCTATAATCACCCTGCTAATGTTTCACTTGTAATCGAGCCTTTTCTTTTGTATCCTTTTCGTGAATTATTCATCTTAAGTTTTTTTGATTTGGTTTTATCGTTTGTAGTTTAGATAAAAGTTTCTCATACTTTATTAGATTTCAGGTTACTCAATATGGTGAAGAACTTCCTGAGAGAGTAGGGCAGCCTGATTGTGAGGTATGTCTACTTTTGGTAACTAAAATTGTATTTGTTTTGTAAATTTTTTCCGTTTTGAACGGTGCTTCATGAAACTGAATATGGACATGTTTTAGTTTTATGCAAGAGTGAATTCAAGTATAGGCCCTTTTTAAGGGAAGAATATGATGTAGGACTTGGAATGAAGGCAAAATTTGAATTAGTTATGCTTCCGATATGGAAAATTATCATTTTTGTTTTCACCGATCATTTGTTAGATTTTTTTGTTTGACTGACATTATAGTGTTTATCCTCTAAAATTTATTTACCAGATCTCTTTATGGCAAAAACGGCAAGTTTCATTCCGTGCCAGCGAATACGAGGCATCGGTTACAATAGAAATATCTAATTCCGGAAATGAATGTAACCTATAGATTTTGTTATTGTTAAATATTACGTAATCCATTTTCATTAGAGGCTTCATCGCAATTCCGTTGCCTTGAAGCCTGTTAAGGACATACAACCTATATAAAGCTTAATTAAGCAAGCACTTAACTTAAGTGCTTTTGATATGAACACTTTTGTATAAGCTATTTCTGTAACAAAAGATAAAATAAGATGAAAACTACTTATGGACATGTCATAGGCTTTTTTTTTTTGTAAACTCTCTCAATTGGTCTATCAAGTGCTTATGTCGGTAGATAAGTTCAAATAAGCCAATCCAGACACGCTTTATACTACTTGTAACTCATCATCATGTTTGAAATGTGTGTTGCAGTATTTTCTTAAGACAGGAACATGCAAGTATGGATCGACATGTAAATATCATCATCCAAAAGACAGGCGAGGTGCTGCACCCGTCGTATTCAATACTTTAGGTCTTCCTATGCGTCAGGTTTGTGCATTTCTCTTTTGATGGACAATGTTGAAGCGGTTGTATTTTCTTCAATACCCTACTAATGTTACTTTTTAGGAAGAAAAATCGTGTCCTTATTACATGAGAACCGGGTCTTGTAAGTTTGGAGTTGCGTGTAAGTTTCATCATCCGCAGCAGGCGGCGGCTTCCTTTGGAGCTTACCCGGCGGCTGCCTCTCCTCCCCCCACAACTGTTACTTCATCAGGGTTTCCATATGCTGGCGGGTTTCCTGCATGGTCGGTTCCGAGAATGTCGTATTTATCTGGACAGGGCATTCAATCTTATGTGCCTCCTTTTATGCCTTCTACACAAAGCATTATGCCTGCGCTGAGCTGGAGCAACTACATGGTTAGTTAGAAACCGATGAATGAAATGTCTGTTTATATTTGCGTTTTTCGTGTTACTGAATATAATGCTCGCCCACTGGTATTATTTCTGAGAAATTAAATATTGCAAGGGCTATTAAACCGTCTATCGTATATTTCTACTTACCGAAATGTTTTGATTATGTTAAATTTTTCAACCACATGGATTAAATGGCACTTTTTGCTGATTCAATTAAGATATTCTGTTTCTGACCGCTGTTTTATTTGTCGAAAAAGGGAAGTATTAGCCCCGCAATGCCTACCGGTGTTCTCGGATCTAATCTTTTCTATGACTACATGAATCCGGCGGGAGATACACTTTCTGGCGGACAGGTAGTGAATTCGTTTCTTCCGGATAGACCCGATCAACCAGAATGTAAATACTTTATGAGCACCGGAACATGCAAATATGGATCTGATTGCAAGTTCCACCACCCGAAAGAAAGAATAGGCCAATCATTGTCCATTAATCCTCTTGGCCTTCCCATGAGACCTGTAAGTTCATTTTCTACCATTGCTTAAGATTCACACTTTTAAAAGAAATCACTTTTAGAAGTTTTCGCGTAAGTTTGGTTTCACGGTTGGAGCATTTAGAATTGACTCTCGACATGTAGAATTGATTTTTACGTCAATTTTGTAAGAATTTATCCAAGTATAGATCACTTTACATTCAACTCACTTGTAGGCAGAATCAATTCATTCAGAATCAATTTTTTTCACTGCGGAACCAAACACACATTTGTTATGGATTTTGAAAAAATCACTTTAGGAAGATATTTTCATGAAAATCACTTTTAGTTACACTTTAAAAGATCTGATTCTTATTTTCTGATTCTCTGCAGGGGAATGCTATATGCTCATATTACAGAATCTATGGAGTATGCAAGTTCGGTCCAACATGCAAATTTGATCATCCAGTTGTAGCCATCCCTCAGAACTACGCCTTACCCTCGCCCACTCTCTCCGTATTCGACGCATCTCTTCTCAATACTCCAAGAAGGATATCGACTGTCCAACAAGCCGACACATCTCCGTCGAAACAATCATCTGACAAGCTTCAACAATCCGACACAAAAGATGCGACCGAAGATTCATCTAAACAAGCTGACGACACTACATCAAATTCTCGCACACCTTCGTCCGAGTCTTTACACGACGAATAAACTGCTTCATGTTTGATTTTTCTTTTGGACCTTTTCTCTTTTTGGTGAAATATATATCATACATACCATCTATTCCCCCTTTTAATCTGCAGGGTTGGATAGTTTGTTCAATGGTTGTTGTAACAATCATGAGCTTGTGGGGGATAGAGGGCATTTTTTTGTGGTGAATAAAATGCAAGTGAAAAGTTTGTGACTTTCATTTACCCTTTTCTCTCTTAGGGTCAATTTGGTAAAGACACCTACAAATATATTGAGTGAAAATCTCAAATATGTGTAGCATTTCTTGCATGAATAGAGTTTCTATTGGCTACAATCAATCAAGATACATTAAAGTTCAAGAGGAATCAAAACTTGCATGGGATATTCTTCTATATATAATTACACTAGTGACATGAACATTACATTGAAATTGCTCCTAGGATAACCTTGTGTAATTAGGATATTTTACTGCTTGTTTTTTATGTTTATTTCATTGCAATTGAATCCCTCACAACATTTTGACTTCCACCTTTTTGAATTAACTTTTGCATGCATATAAAATACTTTTGGACCAAAGTCAACATAATTGAATCGAGTCAGAAAAAACTTGAATAGGATTATGTAATTTTGGAGTGCATGACTAAAATCATAAGAAAGTATGAATCAAGTCATGATCATACATGTTTCAGAAATTTGATTTAACGATATGTAATTCGAATTAAGGTTCCATTTGAATCGAGTCATGAGTATATTTCTATAAATTAAGTTGGTTAGGGAAATGTAACTCGATTTGTGGCTCCATTTGAATCGAGTCATGGAAAATATTTTTACAATGCTTTTCAATTAAGGTTTTATGATTTGGCCTAAAAAAATTGGCGAATCAATTCAAATATTTTTCAAACTTTATTTTGTTTTGAGATACATGACTTGATTCATATAATTATTTGATTCACTTCACATGACTTTGAGTCATGAATCAATTTACGTGTTGAGTTTTTCCGGCTTTTTCATATACTTGTTTCAATTCATTTTGTATTTTTACTCGATTCATTCATGTGTTTTGACTTGAATCAAAAGGTCATTTTTATACTATTTTTGTGCATTTTCTCAAACACATATAAAAGCTTTTTCTCTTATTTTTTAATAATCAGATCAAAAATCAAATGAGTATTTTTTTTTAAAATTCATCTTTCTCAAACACCATAAAATTCATCTTGTGCATGAAAGTTAATTCACTTAGAGAGTGTAAGCTTGTTTGTTAACAACTCATTAGATTACTAATGTGTCGGTGACTGTTTGAGTTAGAGGATATGTGGTAGAATTTTAGAAGTAAATTTTCAATGAAGAAAAAGAAATTTCTTCTTCAAAAAAGTGTTTGGATTTTCTCGTTTGCACCTTTCATTCAAAGATTTCGGGTAGAGTTTGAAGAACTGATGACAATGAAAATGTTGATGATATTGAAGGCATGAAAATGGTGATATTAGAATCAAGAAGGTGATTCTATCTTGAGGCTTGGTTTACGGTGTAAAGATGGAAGAAGATCAAGAAAGAAGAATATGTTATTTTGTGCTAAGCATATTCTGGTTAATTTTCTATGATATTCTTGCACCAAAATTATGTAACCATAATCTAAAATAGTGGAAGACAAATTTCGAAGGACCACCATCAAAGATTGGATTAAATGCTTAGGAAGGAAAAAAAAACATTGAACCAATATAAATTTTGGTGCATTGATTCTCTCACCTCACATGAGTTAACCCCTTTAACAGCCTTAAAAAATTACCGTACAGTGATGCTCGCCGCCACGATCTAGCCCTTAGCCACCAAAGTTGTAATATACCTACTAGGACCTCTGACTCTTTATGCCTTTGCAGGGGGAAAATACACACCCTATACATTTTGGACAGGGCCAAGACCTTCCCCACAGTCGGGTAGATCCAACCCAATACTACGTTGGGGAGGCCCAACAAAACCCAATCCTCCTTCATGTCAGGCACACTTAATTCTGTAGTCGGGCAGAACACTACATAGCACGAGAAGAGCTTACACGTCTTCTCCACGTGCCCCCACGTAGGAACACGTCATCAATCAACTATCCACTTCCGAAAGAACTGGTCAGTCCACCTTCCGAAGATCACGGGGCAGTTGATCCTGGGCGAAGACCACGTGCTGATCTTGCCTATGCCACGTATGCCCCTGCAGGGGGAAAATACACACCCTGTACGTTTTGGACAGGGCCAAGACATGCCCCACAGTCGGGCAGACCTAACTCAATACTACGTTGGAGAGGCCCAACAAAGCCCAATCCTCCTTCATGTCGGCCACGCTTAATTCCGTAGTCGGGCAGACCACTACCTAGCACGGGGAGAGCTCACGCGTCTTCTCCACGTGCCCTTCACGCAGGAACACGTCATCAAGCAACTACCCATTTCCGAAAGAAATGGTCATCCCACCTTCCGGAGATCACGGGGCAGTTGATCCAGGGTGAAGACCATATGCTGATCTTACCCACGCCACGTAAGCCCTGACAGTTACTCGTATTGGGCCTTGCAATCCAATCCAATGCAAAGTAATTGTTGATCCTGCTCTGGGGGCACATTATAAATACCCTCTTTCACTAGAGGGTCTGTTATTCTATTCTCCACTCCTATTTTCTATGTACTTGCTCTTCCTAACCCCGTTACTCAGTTAGGCATCGGAGTACCTTGCAGGTACACTCCCTCCTCCTCTTCAACACCGGTGAACACAGGAGCTCGCAATGCGTGACAGACTGTTGATTCCTTTCTGATCAGGTAAAACCAGTGGCGCCGTCTGTGGGAATCCTTTGCTCCTTCGTTATTTCTCCTATAGAAGCATAGAATCAAGAACCAAAGCAACATTAAACTTCCGTTTGATCATGGCCAACCCACGCAATGACAACGCTCTAGAAATCGCCTTCGCTTCATTTATCAACAGTGACAGCCACAAACCTAATGTGACCGTTCACATCGAAGAGGGCGACTCCAGGGACGGGAACACCGATTCTTCCTCCTTGGAAGACGCGACCTTCAATGCCGCCCGACGCATTGATAACACGACTGTCTACCAGCCAATCCCGATGCCACCCAGCGTCGACTCGACCATGGTAGTTATGTTCACGGCGATCAACTAAACCAATCTGATGATCTTCCAATAGAATGAGCGGATAGGGATGCTCGAGAAGGAGCGACAATCACACTCTCCCCTGTGGAGACATCGTCGCCCCGTTTCCAGCAGCCCCTTTCCTCCCTCGCAGAGGACACGACACGACGACTCTCAGAGCCTTTCTCCCCGGCAGACTGGACGTCGCCTGCGATCGATCCTCTCCCCAAAAGGAGCGATGCTCCCCCACTCAGAAGAGGAACAAAGCTGAAGGAGGCCTCGAGAAGCCAAAGAGTCGGCCAATGAGTCCTCCCCGACGAAACAGAAATAATAAATAATCAGGGTGACTTTTCCCCTTCTCGGTCACCTGTCAAGAGCGACAAGGACGACCAGTGCTCACCACTGTCCAGGGCCATCAGGAAGACTCAATCATGTGTAGCATTTCTTGCTTGAATAGAGTTTCTATTGGCTACAACAATGAAGATACATTAAAGTTCAAGAGGAATCAAAACTTGCATGAGCATTTGCATGGGATATTCTTCTATTTATATAATTATATATGTGCTTGAAATTTTAACAATTAATTTTTTAGCCAATTTTTATGAGTCTTTATTTTGTTGATTGAATACCATGGTTCTTGTTTCTACCACAATTCAAGAACTGTGAATTTTATGGATATAAGACTTGAGGCATTGGAAGGCTAATCTAATGGGCTATTGCACGGTGATGAGAAACCATGATTCTTAAACCAAGGATGCTTGGTGAATGATAATAATTATTAGAGGCTTTATGTGTGTTATTGTGTATGTTTGATAATTATCTTGTTTGTGCTTAATAACCTAAAATGTTGATATGTGAGAATAATTATGATGACATCTAGGTGAATAAATAGTAACCTAACTTAAGCTAGGATAATAGAGTTAGTTGGCAATATCCAAACACAATGATACCTCAGTGTGTATCATGGATGGAAAATTGCTACTAATAAATCAAATAGTGAAATAATATCATTTATATGGAACATGATGTTTGTGTGAGGGTGAAAGTAATCACCTAGTGATTAGAGGTTAACCACGTTACTTTTAACGAGCAAATCATGTATTCGGAAATAACTCCATTTTCGTGCCCGTTCCAATGTTTGATGATTATGAGATGTAAGAATTGAGATATATGCACCAATGTTTCGCTCAACCAAATGAGTTAGAGTCCCATATTGAACCTCAAAGTGGGTTAGAGTCCCATACGAGGAATAAGACTCCAAATGGGTTTAAGTCCCATAGGAAGTGATGATTCTTAGATTGGGTACGAGTCCCATGAAATAATTCGAAATTCACAAGAAAGTCAAAACATAATACAAGGATCTGTGACCCCTGTCGAGAATCCTAGACGTAGGGTTGGCCAGGGAAAGATGCCTCGGTACAATTTCTGAATAATGATTTTTTGTTTGTTGGTGAACTCAAGTGTACATATTTCTATACAATGCGATAATTCCCTAGTTGCTTAAGTCTTTATCCTCTTTTAAGACATGAGTTAGGAAATTGATTAGAAACCCTGCAGAGCTGAGTGAACCCATAAGATAGGGGAACTCACTAAGATTATTATCTCACCCCAATATTATTGTTGCTTTTCAGGTGTTATTTGCAGGTTTAATAGAAAAGGAGTTGTGCATTGATGTTTCAAAGGATTCAGTTTACTATGATCTTCCATTGTGGATTGTGTGCAATGAAGAGATTGCACATAGATCTTAGTTTTATTTTAGGCACTATTGTATAACATGTGCTATATATGTAGATTTTATTTATGGACATGTATATATAATTATGCCGTTAGGCCCTTTTGTTAGATCGGTACCAAGAATTAACACTTGTATGATATTATTCATGATATATATTATACAGGTT